AACTCAACATCATGAAGCAGTACTAGCTTCCCAAATTGGCCATATTTATAGATTTTCTAAATGAGATTAATCAGACTGAGGATAGCTGAGTTAGAGACCAGAGAACCTGGTTCAAAATAAAACATTTGGAAACCCCAACTTCAGAATTACTTGATTTCATCTCTAAAATGTTATTTCTATCCCTAAGTTCTACAAGAAAGAGCATAATGTTAAGATTTAATTGTGCAATATTTTGATCTATATGTGATTTCGTTGAACACACATTGTAAGTAAACCTTTGATGCCTACCTCCATACCAATAGTGCTAAACACTAATATTGAGATGAATTTCAATTGCTTTTTACTCACAATTGAGAGATTTCTATGAAAAAGAAAATCAAGGACCTAATAAAAATAAGGACAATACTTGTTTGTTGAAGTTTGAGCTATCTCCTTTAAAAGTATATGTATCTTGGGAAGGGATCTCTGGTGGTGTAGTGCCTAAGCCATTTGACTGCTATTTGACTGCTAACCAGAAGGCTGGTATTTCAAATCCACCAGCCACTCCTCATAAGAAAGGTTGGGCAATCCTACTTCCATAGTAATACCACCTCGGAAACCCAAGGAGGGGTCGTTATGAGTTGAAATCAACTCTACAACAGTGATTTTGGTTATCTTGGAAAAGCTGAGTGTGTTGTATGTTTTTTTGTTGTTTTTCTGTGTGTGCATCCATGTGTGTATGCAAGAGAGAAAAAGTATGTGTGTGCGGCGAGTGTATGTGTGTATGTATATGTGTGAATCCTGAAGAGAAAAAGAGGAAGGAGGGCTTAGAAAATTTTGATGGAAAGGGTAATGAATGGAAGGAATGCAGTTATTGCTGCATTCAAATCAGTCAGTCATGTTCTTTAAATAATAATAATAATAAAATATTTATTGTGATTTGCGTGAATGTTTACAGAAAAACTGGTTTTCCATTCAACAATTCATACACATTTTGTTTTATGATTTTAATTGCAATCCCTACAACGTAACAACCCTCTACCCACTTGCTCCCTGTTTTGTCATGTCCACTGGGCCTTCTTGCCTGTCCTTTGCTGTCATTGAGCTTTCTCCCTGGGCAGATCCTGTTCGTTTGGTCTCATGTGGTTGATGGCTCTAGGAATGTATACCTCCTTGGTATTACTGTTCACCTTATAGGCCTGTCCATTTCTGGATGTATTGACAGTATATATAAATGCATATGTTGAGAATCTGTGTAAAAACTCATGCTTATTTGCTAATAAATGTATGTGTACACAGATAGGAAAAAAGAAAAATGGCAGAAGTTTAGAATTGTAAGAAATGTCTACTACCGAGCCCCTCCATGATTTATATCAATAAATTAATAAGGAAAGTCCGTTATAAGTTTAATATATTTATGAACTGTGTGATAGATACAAATGGTAAAAATAAATGTATAAGGGGGGACAGCTATAGGAATAGTCAACAATATTCTATATGGTTAGTTCCATCTGGTATTGTCAACTTTGTCTTTAAAATCTTAATCTTTTCTCCACAACCAAGAGTTCATGATAAATAAGATTCATTTTCAAAAACCCATTAAAGTTATAGAATGATTTTAAGATGAACCTCAGTCTTCTAACTAAACTTATCCCTAGATCGACACAGATACTTAAGTATGAACAGTATGTGTTTACTTTGGAAATATTCTAATGAAAACCTGTATGCTTGAACTACCCTTTGAATGTTAATTGTTTCAGAAAATTGATCAGGTAATCACAGAAATGAAAAGATCCTTTTTTTTTTTTTTTTTTTTACCTCCTTATTCCTGAGGCAGAAGATCAGAGGATTCAGCATGGGCATCACCACCATGTAGAACACAGAAGCCACTTCATCCCGATTCATGGAGTAGCTACATGTGGGTCTCAGATACTTATAGATGGAGGTTGCATAGAACAGAGTTACAGCGGTCAAGTGGGAGGCACAGGTTGAGAATGCTCTGCGCCTCCCCTCCCTGAATGCATTCGAAAGACAGAGAAGAGAATGTAGCCGGAGGGTGTAAGGAGGACCAGCAGACTTCCCACCATGTTCACACCAGCAGAAATGGAAAGAATGCTCTCTTGCAGGCATGTGTCGGCACAAGAGAGCTTAAACAGAGGGGGCTTGTCACAGAAGAAGTGATGGACGATATGGAGCCAGAGAATGGTAACCTGTGTTAACCATGGAGTTTGGCAGTCCTGCTCTAAAAGCCCCAGCTGCCATTTTAAGGCAGACTGTCCTAGACATTATTAAAGAGTAGAGAAGTGGATTACATATGGCCACATAATGGTCATAGGGCATTAACCCAAAGAGGATGAATTCAGTTGTTGCCAGGGCAACAAAGAAATACACCTGCAGGAAGCATCCAGCAAAGGAGATGTTTTTCTTCTCAGACAATAAATCTACCAGCATCTTTGGGGTGATGGTGGATGAGTAGCAAACATC